CAGGAGCGCCGCCGCGCTTCCCAAGCGGCGCACTATCCAGTGCGCCACCGGGCCAGCCCTAGGATCATTTTTAAGGCTCCTTTCGTGGAAGTGCCCCTCAGAACTCTTCCAGCTGCCACTCGTTACCCAATGCTAAAGCCACTTGCACATTTTTAGGTATTTGTTATAGTACCAATTTCTGTCATAGAATGTTAGGGCTGCTATAACAAAATACCTTAGACTGAGTAATTTATAAACAACTGAAATTTATTTCTAATAGTTGTGGAGGCTGGAAGTTCAATAAGATGCCAGCAGATTTGGTGTCTGGGAAGGGCCCTTATAGACGGTTCCTTCTGTGTGTCATCAGGTGGCAGAAGGGCAGCGTGCTTCCTTGTGCGTCTTTTAGGAGGGCTCTGACCATTGATGAGGGCCCTGCCCTTGTACCCTAATCACCTCCCAAAGGCCCCACCTCTTAATACCATCATCCTGGGTGTTAGGCTTTAACATATGGATTTTGTGGGACACAAACATGAGGCATAGCAGGGCCCCTGGGCTGCGGCGGGGAGTCCTGTCCAGCTAGTGAGCAGAGCGGAGCCTCTAGCCAGGACTCTGCTGTGGGAGTGAACCTCAGGGTAAAGTGGGTTCCTTGGAGACCTCAGCTTCAGTTGAGAGGCCGCCTTTTCTGTTTTTCATTTTGAAAACATAGGTGGCAACCTGTGTTTTCATAGGTGGCTCACCTGTACTTTCAGAATGGATTTTCACAAACGTGTACCAAGTACATTGGAGAAAGGATCATCTTTTCCACAAAAGACTGCACCTTGACACAGCACGCATCTGTGTTGGCCGTTTTTGTTGCTTATAATAGAATGCTTGAAACTTGGTAATTTATAAAGAAACAAAATTTATTCATTTGTTTTGGAGGCTGCAAAGTCCCTAGTTCAGGGAATACATTGGTGAGGGCCTTCTTGGTAGTGTCTCTCTACAGCAACGCAGGGCGTCACACGGCGAGAATGACCCGAGCAATAGAGCTAATCTCACTCAATGTCATATAAAGCCATCAGAGCCACGTCCATGACCACTCATTAAATCGTTACCCCATTACTCTGCGAATGGATCGGTCCATCCACAAGGGCACAGTCCTTGTGATCCAATAACCTCTTAAAGGCCCCACCTTTCAAATCAGATTTCCCACTCTCTTAGCACTGTTATAATGGGGGGCAAGCTTCATTGAGTTTTGGGGGGCCATTCAATCCATGGCAGCACCATATGCAAAAATTAACTTGAAATGGATCATACTCCTAAACTTAAAACCTAAAACTCAAGTTACTTAAATTTTAAATCTTAAAAGATGCAAATTTAAATCCTATAAAAATTCTAGAAGGGAACACAGGAAAAAATCTTTGTGAACTTGGATTAGGCAAAGACTTATTAGGACCCCAAAAGCATATACCATAAAAGAAAACTGATATACTGGACTTCATGAAAAGTAAAAACTGTGAAAGAAGCCAGACACAAAAGGACAAATACTGTATGATTCCACTTATGTGTTCCCCAGAGTTGTCAGATTTACAGGGACAGAAGGTAGAACAGTGGTCTCCAGGGCTGGGGTAAGCAGGGAGAGGGGAACTAGTGTTTAATGGGTACAGAGTTTCAGTTTTATTTATTTTTATTTTTTATTTTTTTTAAAAGATGACCGGTAAGGGGATCTTAACCCTTGACTTGGTGTTGTCAGCACCACGCTCACCCAGTGAGCAAACCGGCCATCCCTATATGGGATTCGAACCCGTGGCCTTGGTGTTATCAGCACCGCACTCTCCTGAGTGAGCCACAGGCCAGCCCCAGAGTTTCAGTTTTATAAGATGAAAAAGTTCTGGAGATGGATGGTGGTGATGGCTGCACAACACTGTGAATGTGCTTAATGCCACTGAATTGTACACTTAAAAATGGTTAAAATGGTAGATAATCACATTATGTGTACTTAATCACAATTTTAAAAAGTAGAAATTTGCTCTCTGAATAACACTGTTAAGAGAATAAAAAGACAAGCCACAGACTGACAGAAAGTATTTGCAAATCACATTTTTTTTTTTTTTTTTTTTTTTAGGCATGCATATATCTTTAACACTTGTATACAACTTTCTTTACTTTCTTTTTTTGTCTCATAAACATCCCCTAAAACTACACTTGTATTCTCGTGTTGTGTATTAATATTTTTCATTTATCATATTAAAATTCATTCATAATCATTTTTCATAATATCTTTTCAAATATTTTCATCTTTCTTTTTTTTAAAAGATGACCGGTAAGGGGATCTTAACCCTTGACTTGGTGTTGTCAGCACCACGCTCACCCAGTGAGCAAACCGGCCATCCCTATATGGGATTCGAACCCGTGGCCTTGGTGTTATCAGCACCGCACTCTCCTGAGTGAGCCACAGGCCAGCCCCAGAGTTTCAGTTTTATAAGATGAAAAAGTTCTGGAGATGGATGGTGGTGATGGCTGCACAACACTGTGAATGTGCTTAATGCCACTGAATTGTACACTTAAAAATGGTTAAAATGGTAGATAATCACATTATGTGTACTTAATCACAATTTTAAAAAGTAGAAATTTGCTCTCTGAATAACACTGTTAAGAGAATAAAAAGACAAGCCACAGACTGACAGAAAGTATTTGCAAATCACATGTCTGGTAGAGTTGTATCCAGTGTATGTATAAAGAATTCTCAAACCCAGTAAGAAACATAGGTCAGCTTTTAAAATGGGCAAGACACATAACAGTGAAACTACGAAACATTGTCAAGAGAAATTTTAAAAGATATAAATAAGTGGAAAGACATTCTATGTTCATGGATTGGAAGACAATATTGTTTAGGTGGCAATACTCCCCAAATTTATCCACATTCAACACAATTCCTATCAAATTCACAGCTGCCTTTTTGCAGAAATTGATGAGCTGGTTCTAAAATTTATTTGTAAATACAAGGGACTCAGGATAGGCCAAAAAGTCTTGAAAAAGAGTAACGAAGTTGGAAGATGCACTTCCCAATTTCAAAACTCTCTACAAAGCTCCAGTAGGAATCAAGCCCGCGTGGTGCTGGCGCAAGAACAGACCTGGAGATCAGTGCGGCAGAGTCGAGCAGTGACTCATTTTATTTATTTATGGTCAGTTGGTTTCCATGATGTTATCAAGATCATTCCACTAGGAAAGAATAGTCTTTTCCACAAATGCAGCAGGGACAAGTGGATGTGCAGGAATGTGCCACCAGACCCCGCCTCACACCGTGTCCAGAACCAACTCAGAACTGATCAGAGAGCTACGCTGTGCCCAGTGCCTGGGTAGCCTGAGCTCCTCAGGAGAGAGCCCCAATTTCTGGAGCAGAATGCCTGGACAAACCGAGCATGCTAGCCAGCAGCTGAGGCTTTTGTTGGGTCTGGGTGCCCCCTCACCTGGTTCCTGCAGACCCCTCCTCATGCCCCTTGGGTGGCCTGCCAAGGGGGTGGCACGGTGTCTGCAGGGGCCTCCCGCCCTGCCTGGCTCTCACAGACGTCTGGCGTCCTGGCAGGTCCTTGACTCAGAGCAGGACCCTGCAGAACATGTCCCTGAGGTGGAGGAGGACCTGGACCTCTTGTACGACACGCTGGACATGGAGAACCCCAGCGACAGTGGCCCTGACATGGAAGACGATGACAGTGTCCTCAGCACACCCAAGCCGAAGCTCAGGTGGGCCAGCGGGTGGCCTGGCAGAGGGGCTTCCCCCACACCCCTGCTCTGTGGAGATCACACCTGGCCCTGGGGGCACAGTGGGCAGGGGGAAGCTGGGAGGACTGCTGTGAGCACGGGTCAATCCAAGGTGGTTGTGGGTGGACTGAGTGGGCAGCTGTTCTGTCACAGGCCGGGGATGGGGAAAGATGCATTTGTGCAGGGGCTTGGGTGTGTGTGCTCTGGGCTGGAGGACTGAGAGGTCCCCAGGGTGCTGGCCAGGCTGGTTCTGGCACTGGAGAGAGTATCAGTGTGCGGGGGAGTCCTTGGAGGCCGTAGAGGCAGGTGGGGAGGGAGGGACAGGTGTGGTGTGGCTGGGCTGGGGGAGGAGGGGCTGGCCAGGAGGAGCGGCTATCTGCAGAATTGCTGGCCAGCTGACAGTCACAGTTCCAGGTGAGGCATGGGCCTTTCAGGCGTGATCCTGAGTGGATCCCACATGGGTGCCCCCTGGTGTGTTCACATTTCCACATGGCTTTGTCACCCAGGTGGGAGCATCAGGCATAGTGCAGGAGTCCTGTCCACTTTATTGAATCCGTAGGTCTCCTCTCCTTTTTCATTCACATGTGCTTTGTCTGTCAGTGATGGGAGCCTCTGGCCTGGCTAGCCTGGGTGGGCAGGTCAGCAGGGCCTTACGGGGGTGCCCTTGTCATGCTGTTGAGCACGCTCCATCTCCCACAGGCTGGCTGTCCTCCAGCAGGGCCGTTGGTGCAGGGCTGTCCCCAGAGTTCCTTAGTGTTGCTGGCAGCCCTGCTTGGGATTAAGGCTGTGAGCAGCCAGGATTTCAGGGACACATGTTTTCTGTGGCTAATCTCAGAGCAGGTAGAGGGGCCAAGGAGTGCAGCCGGGCTGCCCTGGCGTAGTGTTGCCAGGCTCCTGGATCGTTCTCTCTTAGCTATGGTGTGTGTGAGGGTGGGTGTGCACTGGACCCCACACTGCTCTGCCATGGGGTCACTGCCATCTGCCCCTCCAGGCACAGTGGGGCAGCCACATGGTCAGTAGGGTGAGGGCCCTGGAAAATAGTACCTCCCCCCTGCCCCAAGCAGGCCATACTTCGAAGGCCTGTCACACTCCAGCTCGCAGACAGAGATCGGGAGCATCCACAGTGCCCGCAGCCACAAGGAGCCTCCGAGCCCGGTGAGTGGGCCCCTGGCAAGGGTCCGAAATTCTGAACCTTCCTATCTTCCCGAGTTGTGTGGGGTGGGCTGCACAGACACAGAGGAAAACGTGCTCTGACTGGGTTTTGTGTGGCTGGGAACTCCTAGCACCATCTGGGCTCAGGGCCCTGCCCAATGGCAGGGACTTTCCTGGGGTGACCCTGTGCCCACAGCCTGGGAGACGCCCCTGCTCCCTCCAAACCCCAGCACCCCCTGCCAGAAGTGAGGCGCCTCGGCCCCCCTGCTGCTGAGCACGCCTGACTCCTGTCTCACTCTCCAGGCTGACGTGCCTGAGAAGACTCGGCCCCTGGGAGGCAAGCAGCCAAGTGACAACGTCTCTGACACCGTGGCCCCCGTAAGCCCACTCACAGCTCCCGGCCTCAGCACCGACCCACAGGGACAGGCTCCACCTGAAGGCCCTCGCACCCACGCTACCAGGGCATCTGGTGTGCAGAGGTGGGGTTGGCCCAGGAGATGACCAGGCTGCTGGTGCCACTAGAGTCACAGCTAGAGTTGCTGTTGCATATAGGCCCAGCAACTCCTGGCATGCTCCTGCTGCCACTGTGTGGGGTCTTCTCCGGGAAGGTGTGCTGTGTCCCAGGGCAGGGTGGGGATTCAGGAGGTTTGGCCCTGGTTGAAGGCCAAGGTCAGCTGGGCTCTCCGGGGCAGCATGTGGCCCTGTCCACACAGGGAGCTACAGGCCCAGAAGCCTAAACTCCTCACCCAAACCAGGGGCCATGTGGGCTCAAGAGGGGCCCCGATGTAGGGTGGTATGTCCAAGATGGGCAGTGACCCGGCTACTGTCTTTGTTCACCAGTGTGCACCGGCCCCGCGGGAGCAGCCAGGACAGCCCGAGGACAGCCCAGAAGCAGAGACCTCCCCACGGGACGTGTTCACTGAGAGGCTGCCGCCCAGTGGGAGGGTCACCAAGACAGAGTCACTCATCATCCCCTCCACCAGGTGATGGGGGCCCTGTGCTAGTGGGAGGGAGGGCCTCACCGCAGGAGCGTCAGGGGTGCCCCATTGGGGCAGAGCCCATCGGGCCCGATGAGAATCACGGGTGCAGCCGCAGCCTTGGGGCCTGCTCCAGGTTGGACCCCCACACACACTGGTAACTAGCTGCAGCAGTTCTGTGGCAGTTTCTGTCAGCACACACCCCCGTGGCCAGTGCGCCCATGAGGTTATCCATGCACCAGGCACAGGTGTGGGGCCTAGGGTCCAGCGCCCTCGGTGAAGCAGCTGAGCCCCAGCTGAGGCTTTGAGAGAGCTGGGGATGGCCAGCCACAGTGACTGAGCTCAATTCAGGAGCTCTGCTGGGGCTGGGGGAGGGTGGACCACGTCCCCAGGGAAAGCAGGTCCAAACCCAAGTCAGCTGGCCAGCCTGAGCAAGGGGTGGAGTGACTTGTGTAGATTGAGACCCCCCAGGGCGGTGGTGAGTGAGCGCCGAGTCCTCAGAAGTGGGGTGGTCTGAATTGAAGTGACCACAGGTGGCTTCCTGGTGGGGGATGGCCTCCTGGTGGCTTCTCTGTCATGTCCTGACCCCAGGACAGCTTGTCTTGTTAGATCGAGGACAGTCTCCAAGCCCCCTGCATGGGCACATGCCAGGTTGGCCTCCTGCCATCCCCAAGTGTAGGGGCTGACCCACCCTGTGTGACTCCCTAGGGCCCTCCACGCCACCCTCTGCCTCTGGTGGGCCCTCCTTGGGCACTGGCCCTGCCCCTGCCCAGCCTGAGCTTTCGGCCACCCTTGGAGCTCCCAATGGCCCCTCCTTGTGGCCAGCTGCATGCTCAGCCATGCTGCTGCCCTTGGTTGCCTGTGGGCGGGAGCTGTCTGGAGCTGATGGCTCGGGCCTGGGCTGCAGGGAGGTTGGGGGCTCTTAACTGCTCAGTGCCTTCTCTCTGTATCCTTATCTAGGGGCCTTGCAGCCCACTCTGCAGCCCACTGGGCTCTTGCTTCCCTGAGCCCCTCCTAGCCCTGTGACCGAGGCTTCAGTGCCACAGCACTCTGTGCTGCGTTGAGACCCCCACTTTGGTGTCAGAGCACACATGTTGGGTGTCTTGGGTGTGATGGCTCACGCTCTGACTTTGCTGGGGGCTGCTTTCCCACCACTGCCTCTGCGCAGCCCTTCCTGATGGATTGGCCCCTGTGCGAGCCTGTCCAGGAATCAGGAGGCAGGCGCAGCGCTCTCCGCATTGGCTATTGGGCCTGCAGCCCTGGGTGCCACGTGAGAGGAGTTGTGGCCTCTGACCCTGCTGGAGGCTTGGGGTCAGATGCGTCTGCCGCTGTCCCTGCAGATGCCCACCGCGGCACCCACTCCCCTGCTCTGCAGAGCCCTGTCTGGATTGTAAGGGAGACATGATGACCTGGTTGCTTGTTGGTTTTATGTTCCTGTGATATTGGGACGTTTGCAGAGCAGATTAGGGTGCTGGCATTACCTGGTGGGGTGCACACAGGTGCCTGTGTTGGGACCCAGACAGCATCACCTGCTGCCCAGCACTGGCCTGCACCTGGCTCTGTCTTGGGAGGGGAGGGCAAGCTCAGTGACCCTGAGGTACCCTGCACCGACTCACAGACGAGGAAAGGGCTGGGGTCCCACTCATACACCATTGCTGCCGTGGTCCCTGCAGAGTCAGCGGGCCCTCTCTGTGGCCCTTGGCCCCACTGCCCATCAGGTGACACTGCGGTTGTCCTTCCCAGCCCCTACTACCGAGCTCTCTTCCCTGGGGCAGCCGCAATGGTCAGGCCGCAGTGAGCATGTGGCCTGCCCCTGGCCCTGCTGCCCACTCCCAAGCCTGTCCTGGCCCCAACAGGTCTGAGGGGAAGCAGGCGGGCCGCCGGGGCCGGAGCACATCCCTGAAGGAGCGGCAGCCGGCACGGCCACAGAATGAGCGGGCCAACAGCCTGGACAACGAGCGCTGCCCAGACACGAGGAGCCAGCTGCAGGTGCGGGGGCTGTCCACCCAGGCTTGGCATGGGAGGGAGGAGCCGTGAGTTCAGGAAAATGCCCAGCTGCAGAACAGAGCTTGCTTGTCAAGAAGCCTGTGCAGACCTGGGGGCACTTGTCTGCTGTCTGCCGCCCTCCCTGGTCCAGGGCAGGTGAAGAGCCCTGTGGCTGGGGCTGCCCCTGTGGTAGTGGCTCTCCTACCTATTCCTGAGCCTCCACACTGCTGGCAGGCAGCGAGGTGCTCCTGGCATGAGGGCCGGGTAGGTGAGGGGCTGGGCATGGACAGGGCTCCATTTGTCCAGATCCCCAGGAAGACCGTGTATGACCAGCTCAACCACATCCTCATCTCTGATGACCAGCTGCCCGAGAACATCATTCTCATCAACACCTCTGACTGGCAGGGCCAGGTGGGAAGAGGGGCCCCAGGTGGAGTCGAGGGTCAGGGTGTTTGGACGGAGAGGAGGGGACTTTGCCAGTGCCCACCACTTGCTGGGTGGTGTTGCTGAGTGGGGAGGCCTTGGAGAGCGCCCCGTCCACAGGGGACACCGAGCTGGAGGGGTCGGGTTGGCCTGGACTCTGTGAGATCTGAGGCAAGAGTTGGGTGGGGGGTGGCCCAGAAGGCTGTGCCAAGGGTCACCAGCCACTTGGTCCTCTGGGCAGTTCCTCTCGGACATCCTGCAGAGGCACACACTCCCCGTGGTGTGTACCTGCTCCGCCGCGGATGTCCAGGCGGCCTTCAGCACCATTGTCTCACGGATACAGAGATAGTGAGTCCAACAGCCCCTTCCTTGGGGTCCCCCCCTGTGGCGTTGGTGCTTGAGTATGTGTCAGGGGCCCGCACCCAGCTCCTGCTGGGCGCTCCCTGACAGAGTGCTCTCTTTCCTGGGGTTGTGGGTGGTTTCCAGCATTGCCAACCCAGGTCCCCACAGTCCAGTCTCCTCTCCATTTCTGGGTGGGAGCAGCAACCCAGGAGGGGGCACTGAAACACTGGCAGGGTGTCCTGTGGGGGCAGCAGTCTCTGCTGGCTGCCCGGCCCATCCTCAGCCACGACCACCTGCCCTTTGTGCCTGTCTCCAGGACCATCTTGAGGTGGAGCCTGGCAGGTCCAGGTAGACCCCACCCGAGCTTGGGGCTCCCGCTGTCAGGGGGCTGGGCTTTTGGAGTTCCGTCAGGGCCTGAGCAGCACCGCTGGAGGCACAGGTTCCCCCAGGCTCAGCGTGGGTGGCCCTTGGACCAAGGACAGCCTCCCTGAGGCGTCTGTCCCTCTCTGCCCACCTGCCTCTTGGTCGCAGCTGCAACTGCAATCCCCAGCCCCCGACCCCTGTGAAGATCGCCGTGGCAGGGGCGCAGCAGTACCTCAGCGCTGTCCTGCGCCTCTTCGTGGAGCAGCTGTCCCACAAGACCCCCGACTGGCTGGGATACATGCGCTTCCTCATCATCCCGCTGGGTGAGGGGCCGAGGGCCAGTGTCGTGTGGCCATGCAGGGCTTTCAGAGGCAGGGGACACAGCCACATGATGGGAGGGCGTGTTTGGGTTCTGCTGCTGCGTGGTTTTTGATATTTTTAAATGTTTGTCTCATGGTCCCTACTTCTGATTAAGTGAAAAGTAACATGATTGCCTAACACGGCCCTTCGGGTGAGAGGACAAAGCCCTTGCCCTCTGAGGTGGCCCCGTGCTGGCTGTTCCCTTGACCAGTTGTTGAGAAAACTTGGTGCCACTTTCGATTTTCCTTGCTGCAAATGTGGAGCAGGGGTTGGCTGTCAGTCCTTTTGAGTTATCAGGAGCCTGTGTGCTTGAACTTCGTTGATTCTTTTGGTTTATACAATTTGTTTTATTACCAAGCAAACCTGTCCAGTCTCAGTCTATTGACAAATGGTGAGGCCTAGAGGGCACGCCTCACCCGTGTCTGTCCCCGATGCCTCCGTGGGTCACGTTTGCCCAGTAGGCATCCCAGCTGGGCCTTCCTCTCTGAAGCCCAGGGAGGTGGGACTTTGACAAAGCTCCCTCGACGGGGCCCCGACAGTCCACTACAGAGGGGCAGTGGAGGTGGTAGGACCAGGAGGAAGGTTGTCTGGGAGGCGAGCAGAGCAGGCGTGGGGTCAGGCGGCCCAGCTCCTTCACTGGTACGGGAGGAGGCCACATGCGGCTCCATGTCCCGCCACCATGACGGCGCTCCCCTGGCACGCAGGTTCCCACCCTGTGGCTAGGTACCTGGGCTCCGTCGACTACCGCTACAACAACTTCTTCCAGGACCTGGCCTGGAGAGATCTGTTCAATAAGCTGGAGGCCCAGAGCGCTGGTGAGGCCTGCTGCCATGTGGGCTGGGGTGGGGAGGGTTGTCCCCTCAGCACAGCCAGTTCATAGCCAGTTTGGGAGGCCATGGGTGGGTACTCAGGCCTGGGCAGCCTGCGGGGAGGCAGAGGTGGAGGGGAGGCCCGAGCACAGTGCCCCCAGACTGCCACTCAGGTCCCCCCCCCGGACTCCACCCGGGACCCCTCCTGGCCAATGCAGCCCAACCCACCGCTGCCTCCCCCTCGTGCAGTGCAGGACGCGCCAGACATCGTGTCGCGCATCACCCAGTACATCGCGGGGGCCAACTGTGCGCACCAGCTCCCCATCGCTGAGGCCATGCTGACCTACAGACAGAAGAGGTAATGCAGGGGTCCCAGGCCTAGGGCCCTGGAGGAGGCACTGGCCCCACCCTGCAGGCCCTGCTAGCTGCTATCCTGCTGCTGGTCTCGGCCTAAGTGGGCCATGGCAGAAAGTTCTGAGCGAGCCAGGTGGCTCCTCCCTGACCCCAAACCAGAGTTAGAACTTGGGAGTCCTGTTTTCAGAACCTCTGTTTTTGTGTGTGTTGAAATGTGCTATGATAGGCTTACAGGACAGCTGTTGACAACGGCTCCCCCACATCTGGTCACATGTTCTCTTCACAGCCTGGGTTTTCTGGGCAGCCGAACCTTGGGCCTGTTGATAGATTATCACTTGTGTCCTGCCCTGCCCAGAGTAGGATGACGCTGAGGAACTGCAGGCAAAAGCCACGGCTGGGGAGGTCCAGCTGTCCTGACCAGGGTGTGGTGGAGCTGGGCCTGGGTCTTTCCTGCCTGGAGAGCCCCGGGCAGGGACCATCCTGCAGTTTTAGGACACTAAGCATCCCCCTTCTTGTCCCAGGCCTCTGGGCAAGCTGCCCTTCGTGCTGACAAGGGAAATAAAGGCACAGAGTTAGATCACAGCCTCCTTTGGGGAGTCTTGGGGGTGGGCCAAGGGCTTCCCGTCCAAGAGAGCTTGGAAGGGCAGGAAACACAGAGGCCCCACGGCCAGTGGAGGACAGGGTAAAGCACCTCTGCTAATTCCTAAGTGACCCTCAGCACTTGCCTGGACTAGGAGATAAAGAGCTAGTCTGAAGGTCTGTGAGGTACAGTGAGGTCAGCAGGGACGGCTGTGTGGCTCCCTGATGGAGCCCAAGGAGGGGGGCACGGCTGTCCCCAGCACAGGGAGCTATGCCTGGCCCCAGAGCCAGGCGGATGGAGAGTCACTGAGACCTCAGGAGCCCGGCTGTGGTAACGTATCTGTGTTCTCTCTTTTGGCGGCTCTCTGAAAAGGAAAAAGCACTTTCATTTTGACTTTACCCTAAGGTACGGCTCTCTGGGTCTGCCCCTGCCCTGTCTGTGCCCAGGCTGGTCTTTAGGGCTTGTTTAGCAGTGTCACCACCCAAATTCACCCTCCCTGATGTCCTTCCTCTGGGCTGGGAGTCAGGCCCTGGCTACCAGGGCTGGTGCCTGGAGGGGAACAGGTGGGGCCGCTGTGCAGGAAGAGCAGACGTGGACCCCTCTCCTCAGGTCTGGCCTCTCGAGCTGAGTCAGGAAAGCAGAGGCCAGTCCCTGCTGTGCCCGAGCCAGGCCTGCACATGCTGGGACCACAGAGTCCACAGGGGCAAGGCAGCTGAGCAGACGTGGACCCCTCTCCTCAGGTCTGGCCTCTCGAGCTGAGTCAGGAAAGCAGAGGCTGGTCCCTGCTGTGCCCGAGCCAGGCCTGCACATGCTGGGACCACAGAGTCCACAGGGGCAAGGCAGCCGGCAGGCCTCCTCTGTTTCGACCCAGGATTTTGTTTTAAGAAGTGGCCAGTTTTATCCCCCATGAGTGTCTGTGTTTCTGAAGCCACAGACAGTGCAGCCTCCTTTTAAACTAGACATAGGCACTGGGGATGGTGCTGAGCCCTGACGACAGCATCAAGGTCGTCTCGTGCCAGCTTTGCACTGAGCACTTCACACTCACCACAATGGTCACTTGCTGGCAGTCCCAGGGAGGCGCTGATGCTGGCTCCACTGTGGGCTGTGGAGGGGGCGGTGGGGAGCTGGTCCAGGGTACGTGGCGCACAGTGGCCATGCTAAGCCTCCTTCTGCACTGTGGTCTGGCCCCTGGCTCCTCCCCCATGCGCTCAGGGCTAGCAGAGGGTTTTCTGCCATCTTTTGTGGCCAGACCACCAACACCCCAAACAGGGATAAAGTTCTGTTGTCCCCAGAGATGGCCCTACCCTCTAAAAATGGGTACATTTTGAACCAAGTCACCAGCATCCCCCAAAGCTGCCCCTTCTCAAATGGGGTCACCCCTTTCTTGCCCAGGCACATCCTGCCTGTCTGTGGAGTCAGTCGTGCTCCGCCTGTGTCTTCTGCAAATGCCTTAAGTAATTCACTGTCCTGGGAAAAGCTGCCGTACCCTACCTCCCGCAGTACAGGGTCGTGAGGTCCCTGGGGAGACCTCCTTGCTGGAAATACTGGGAGCAGCCACAGCACAGGGCTGGGCCCTGGGACAGACACAGGAGGAGGGAGTCCGCACACCCTGCGTCTGTCCTGCTAAACAAGCCTTGGCGTGTTAGAAAAAGACCAGCGTGGTGTCCTCTCCTCTTGACCCCTGGCAGTCCTGCGCCAGCTGTGGCAGGAAGAGCCTGCAGCACGCTCTCGCCGCCGGGCACCCAGCCATGGCTGCGGCTTCTTGTCTCTCGGGGTTGGCTCATCCGAGCAGCAAACCCAGGCTCCAGGAAACCCTGGCCACCCCACCCCACCCCTGCCTCCTGTCCCTGCCTCCGCACTACATTGGTGACACCGGCACCCCTGGGTGGGGCAGGGCTCCAAAGACCCTGTATGGAGCCCAGGGAAGGCCCAGAATGTTGCTGGGACCACAGGCCAGCCTTTGCCTGCGGTGACAGGGAATACTCCTCTGTCCTTCCAGAGGGAGCACTCAGGAGGCCGGAGAGGGTGGCAAGTGGGCACAGCCCTTGTGGCAGGGAACTTGCGCAGAGTCCTGCCCCGGCCCCTCTCAGCCCAGACTCACTGTGAGAGTGTCTGCAGGGAGGCTCCTTACTCTCCCAAGGTGCGCCCTGCCTGCCCCAGCCCTCCACGGTGCACAGTGTGGCTGGTCGTCGGGAATGGGACTCATCCCGTGAGGACAGGACAGGCTCTGTGGCCAGCCACAAGCCCCAGCCTGCTTGTGCCAGCACACATGGATTAAAGGGGTTTCTTGGGCATCCAGGCAGACCCCCAGGGCTTCACAGAGCATCCCCCAGCTGTCTGCCCCTGAGGAGCCCTCTCCACAGAGCTGTGGGTGTGATCCTTAGACTTCTGATCACTCTGTCCCACCAAGAGCCTGCGTGTGCTGCAGGCCTTGGCAGCCCCTCTGTGTCCAAGGTTCAAATTGAGGGGGTCTTAGTGGCAAGCCGGTGTCACCCCTGTTGCGCTGGCCCGTGTCCAGTGCTGATGTGTGCATGGCCCAGAGGCGCAGCTTGGCTTGAGGGTTCCAGCAACATCCCTGTGTTGTGGCGTCTCCCACATTTCACCCTCGTGTGCCGCAGAGCAGAGCATGCGACGAGAGACCATTGTGCCGTGGTCGGGGGGGGTGTGGCTCGGCAGAGGCAGGTGGCCCTGTAGACTAGCGCCTCCCCGTGTGCTGGCAGCAGGAGCAGCTGCCGCCTGCCTCTGTGACCTCCTGTACCCGGAAGGACTCGGTGTTGCTGAGATTTCCAAGCATGGACCTGCCGGAAGAGGGCAGGTGGGACCTCCGTGTAGACGGCCACCTCGGGCGCTCCTGCCTGATGGCCAAGGACGGAGCCAGGGCGGCAGGGAGGCAGGCCCTCAGGACAGCAGCAGGCCTGGGCACATGGTTTAGATTCTTTTATTTTATTTGAAGTGTACGAAGGAGGGGAAAGTTTCTCTTCTAACTCTGTTCTTAGAACAGAACAAAAGGTGAGGACTGGTCATCTTCAGTAGGGTGGACAGAAGTCTGTCGATGGTTTCACCCAAAGGCATCTGCCAGGTCTTTTGCAGGGGATCCTGGGGGTGGGAGGTACCAAGGGTGCTCTGTGTTGTGGGTCCCTGTGTCCCAGGAGAGGGCGAGCTGGCATCTCCTCCACAGGTGCTGCTGCAAACACAGAGAGAGGCCCCTCCTATAAGGACCAGCCTCAGCTGGCTGGGTGCTGGGCATGCATTCTGGCCTGGCCCCTGGGCAAGGGCCACTTTTCCAGCCTCTGGGTACACCACACTGTTTGTGGGGACACTGGGCACAAGTCTCTGCCCCGCAGAGCTCTGAGGAGATGGGGCTGCTGGTCCCGGAAGCTGGTGCCCACATCCTGGCAACGGCTTCTCTCTAAATGGCCCTGCATGGACCGCACTGCAAGAGAGGGCTGGGGCCACCGGGCAGGTCCACACACTGCAGCCGCACAGCCATTCCTGAGTGGTTCCCTGGGATATGGAGAGAAGCCCCATCCCTTGGCTCTTTCCCAGTGCCATGGCAGCCACTGCTTCTCTCACCACATCTGCAGGATAGCCACTTGCTGGTGTTAGACTACACTGTTTGGGAAATGAGACAGAAGAAACAGAGCTGGGAGAACTGCCCAGAGGCAGCACCCACTGCTCATGTGGCCACAGGGAGCTGCCAAGGCCGAGGGAGGAGGCTGACCTAGCCCTTGCCCAGGACTGGCCCTGCCCTGTGGATCTGCCCAGGGGCCTGGAAGGAGATGCTCTTCCAGCTGCTGATGGAGCCTCATTTTCCAAGCTGGCACCACGCCCTGTGGGTGATGCTGCAGGCCACAGCTGCTGCAGAGAAGACCAGAGGATCACCCCCTGCCTGGGCCACACATACTGGAGAAGGAAGGCACTCGGGATCTCGTCCCCTGGGCTCCTGCCCTAAGTCCCTTGGCATCTTCCCCGTGGATGGGCTGTCTGCCAGATGTTGTACAGAGCCAGGTCCAGACAGCCCTCACCTGATCCCACCTCAGGCCACACTTGCCTGTTATTCTGAGCACGGTGTGTCCACTCTGTCATTGCAGCCAGAACCAGCCTCTCGAGTAGTCATCAATGTTACCCAGACTGGGAGAAAACCTCTGTGCCCTGGCTTTGGGGTGGCTACCCCAATCGCTGGAGAAGGCCCAGCCTGTTCCCTGGAAGGTTCTGGGGCCCAAGGGCACCTGCTGCAAGCCCTATTCTTGGGCTGAGCAGGGAACGCTGGGCTTGGTGGGGCCAGCAGAAAGGCAGATGGGAGAGGACTGGACTGAGTCACTACCTGTGCGTCAGGCCCCTGGGATGGAAAAGTGAATCTCCTGTGAGGCTGCGCACTCCTTGCAGCCCTCACCCTTGCCCAGAGGGATGCAAGGGTCAGGGTTCCGGAGGTCAGGGTGGGCTGCAGAGTGGGAGTGGGTGGGGCCGGCAGGGGCAGGGCTGTCCAGCCAGGCCCTCGGCCCTGGGGCTGCACCAAGTTCTCAGGCCAAGAGAAGCTGAGCCCGCCCTCAGCTGCTGCTGCTGTGTAGACGGGTGGGTGTGCCCTGGAAATAACTTAACCGCCTGTTTTCCTTGCCCTTAGCGCTGATGAAGAGTCCTCTCAGAAGTTCATTCCCTTCGTCGGGGTGAGTACCAGCCAGCCCCACCTGCTCAGGAAACCACTGACCTGCCAAAGTGCCTTTTATGATGAGGATGTGTTTGCACTCACTTGACACATCCCGGAGCCTTCCTCACCCGCTTGAGCTGGGGCTTCCCCTGGAGTCCCCCGTCTTCTCCCTGTGTGTGCGGCGTGTGGGCATGGGGCTGGCCGGTGGAAGCAGAGGCCCCATTGGGCAGGCGCGGGTCCAGCTCTAGGCATGTGTGTGTGTCGGGGCGAGTGCCTCTCAGGAGAGGAGACCCCGGCTGCTTCTGGGAGGAAGGGCGCCTTTGTCCTCGAGGAGCTGGGTTGGTTTGCTCAGGTGGGCGTTGTGGCCCACGAACTTGAGGTTCCTCCCTCTGCCAAGAGTTGAGGGTGCTCTCTGCGGCCAGGCTCTTTCCTTGTGGCTCAGGTGTCCCCAGCTTCCTGCCCATCTTCTTGTACTGTTGCAGTCCCCTCTGCTGAGGTGCCTGCTGTGAGACCCGTCAGGCAGCCTGACAGACAGGGCCGCCAGACAGAGGCAGGGCTTCCGGGCCTTTCTGTGCACCCTGCTGTGTTTGAGTCCCTGATGAGGGGTCTGGGGTGCCTATGGCCTCTCTGGGAGGGGTGGGATTCATCTAGAGCCACCTGTCATAAGGAGCGCCTGTGGTCACAAGTACCTGTGCTCTTGGGCACCAGAAACATCATCCTGTGATAGAGGCCCTGAATTTGTCATCGTAATTCACTTTAATTACACACAGCCACATGCAGCTAACAGTCTCCATGATGGACAGTGCACGCCAGAGGCACGGTCCCTAGCAGCCACCATGGGTTTTTGGAGCAGCACCTACTGGAGCCAGGTGCTAGCTGGGCCTGGGTCCCTCCCACCAGCGTCCTGGTTGTGCTGGGTGTCTGGGCCTGGCCACTCACAGGCACGTGGTTTACTGCTGCCCAGAGGACCTGCTGTTGTGAGAGGGCAGTCCTTCTGCTGAGCAAGTGCGTCCGCAGCATCATCTGCCCCTGCGTGCCAGCCCCGACCTCGGCTCTGCCCTATGGACAGGAGGGGTGGCACATGGAGGTCCGGCAGCAACAGGGATATGGGAGCCTGCCTGGGTCTGTGCTCCAGAGCAGGAGCCTGGCAGGGCAGGGTAGTGCAGGAAAGGGTGGGGCGGGGCAGGGCAGGATGGCAGGGCCACCGCCAGCCAGCATCAATCGCTTTTTAGGTTGTGAAGGTTGGACTTGTGGAACCATCCTCAGCCACATCAGGTAACCCAATCCCCCCCACCCCAAGCCTAGGGGATCCCCATCCCCCGGGTCTTGCGCAGCTGCATCCCCAGCCTTGTTGGGCTTCTGCTCACTGTGGAGGAGGAGCCTCTGCGGCCACTGTCCTTAGGAAGCCCTGCACCAAGGCTTACATGGCACCCTCTGGAGCCAAGGACATTTGAGAATCTCCTGCCTCGCACACAAGCCACTTGGGCACCGTCCCGCCTGTCACAAGGGGCTGCCTTCTCTTTGTCCTGGTCCAGCGGGTTGGAGCTGTGGGGGGCAGAGCAGTGGGTGGGCTCACCGCTGCCCTGTGACTCCTTCCCTAAGGTGACTCTGATGACGCGGCCCCGTCGGGCTCTGGTGTGCTCTCCTCCACCCCACCGTCCACGTCCACATCTCCCGCGGCCAAGGAGGCCTCTCCCACCCCGCCCTCCTCCCCGTCGGTGAGCGGAGGCCTGTCCTCCCCCAGGTAAAGGCACCACGCATGCAGGGCCTTTCCCCCCTCAGCACTGCTGCTGCCTGAGTTGTCTTCCACCCCCATGTCACGTCCACCCCCCTGCCCCCCGCATCCGTCACGTCAGCGCCCCAGGCGGAGGCGGTGAGGTCTGTGAGGACCACGAGGCCCTGGCTTGCCGCCCCTGACACAGAACCAGCAGGACTTGGCACTGCCCCTGGAGCGTCGCTGGGGACGGGAACCCCTACACAGTAAATAAGTGTGGGGGCTGTGCTGAGCCTTCTCTCAGTTCTGCACATAGTCGTCTTTTAAAAACCAAGCTGAGGTCAGGAGGTGCAGGAGACAGAAGTCTGTAGACAGTCCTCACAAGGCCAGCTCCGCCAGGCCACCCTGGATCTCACTAGAGCTGAACTCACCCAGACTAAGCAAAGCTGTACTGGGCTGTGTGCCCCGAGGTCCCGGCATGCTGTTGGCTTCCAGTCCAGGGCTCCCCAGCCATGCCCTACACAGGGCTGGTTCCTCTGGGCCCTCAAGGTTCAAAGGAGAAGTCTGGAGAGCAGGTGTCGGGCTCCCAGGGCAATGGCTGTCCTGTTGCTGGGTCCCTGTGTCATTTATGCAGGACACCCTCAGTGGTGACCTGGGCATGGTTACGATGCCAGGGCCATAGGCACAAACGAGTGTCCCAGGAGACCAGGGCATGTGGCCGGCTCTGCAGAGCGTGCTGTGAGGGCCTAGTTCCTTTGGCCAGCAAGTTGGCTTGTGACAGGGACAGTGATGCTGCCATCACCAGGACTGAGGGCTGAGGACGTGGGTGTGAGCACCTCTCCCCCTCTGCCTTCCCAGCCAGGGTGTTGGCGCCGAGCTGATGGGGCTGCAGGTGGACTACTGGACGGCAGCACAGCCTGCAGACAGGAAGAGGGATGCCGAGAAGAAGGATCTGCCCACCGCCAAAAACACGCTCAAGTGCACTTTCCGGTCCCTGCAGGTCAGCAGGCTGCCCAGCAGTGGCGAGGCCATGGCCACGCCCACCATGTCCATGACCGTGGTCACCAAGGAGAAGAACAAGAAGGGTGAGGGGGGGTGGGCCAAGTGGGGCCAGATGGTGGGAGGGGACAGCCCCTGGTGGCCTTCGGGGCCAGGCAGGCCTAGGGCTGAATGCTTGGGCAGCCCCTGGAAGTGCAGCAGGCCCCAGAGCCCAGAGGGTGGGCTTCCCACTGGAGCCCAGAGTGGAGTGGAGGCTGCCTGGGCAGGCAGGAGGGCGGCTGTCCCTGGTCACAGCAGGAAGGTGGGCTTCCCAGATGGGCAGGGTCTGAGGGCCGTGGCTGGCCGAGTTGCAGCAGCTCCCCTTCACCCCCTTGGCACTTGTTGCATGGGGGCTCTGGCCAGCCTGGCCCTGAAAAGTGACAGGACAGAAGCAGGCCCCTTTTCCTCCCAGTGATGTTTTTGCCCAAGAAGACCAAGGACAAGGACGTGGAGTCCAAAAGCCAGTGCATCGAGGGCATCAGCCGCCTGATCTGCACAGCCAAGCACCAGCAGCACATGCTGAGGGGTGAGCTTGCCGGGCCCCGGGGTCTGGTCCTCGCCCAAGGTCCCACTGTGAAGTGTGAGGGTAGCAGGGTAAGTTGGGGCTGCCTCTTTGAACACACCACAGACCTGCTCGTTTGTTGTGTGTGAAATGTACTTTACTAATTCAGGATTTGAGCATGTTTTGAAAAGGCACTTATGTGCAGCTGACAGCCATTCAAATTCTGAGAAATAATTTTTCAGTCCTTTCTGCCTTTTGAAAAGGTTGATATGTATACTTCATAGTGTTTTTACGGAAGATATTCTTTGAGTGGTTGACTCAGGGTCTGCAGCTCCCCACGGTTTTCTTCTTTTTCTGGGCTTGAGTCTAATGACCTTGAGGTCGATACTCGCCCTGATCTTCCCACGTGGGTTTTCAGTGCCTTATGCCTGACACCTGCTGAGGTAGAGGTGGGTGTGGACCAGCCAGGCCTGACTGAGTCTGGGAGGGCAGGCAGCAGGGCGGGCAGAAAGATGAGCGCTGGGCCGCTACCGTCCTCTTCCCATTGGAGCCTGGGGGTTCCCAAGGGTGTCATGGCCTCCAGCCTTGGGCTCGCCCTCCTGTTCCCTGGCTGGTGCACCCACCTGTCAGGCGGGCGGGCGGTCAGGCAGCCTTCTCCCGCAGTCCTCATCGACGGCGTGGAGTGCAGCGACGTCAAGTTCTTCCAGCTGGCGGCCCAGTGGTCTTCCCACGTGAAGCACTTCCCCATCTGCATCTTCGGACACTCCAAGGCCACCTTCTAGCCCCACCCACCGAGGGGTCGGAGGAGGACCGTGGAGGGGCCCAGGTCCCGCCCTGAGGGGCCCAGCTGCATTTCTGTCTGTCAACATTTCAGTTTACCACAGAGACAGACTCTTAAAAACATGAAGAGAAACAGTCTTAAGTATGAATGTGCTCACAACCTGGAAACTAACGGGGCAGCTCCCCTCTGGGAGCCAAGTAACTGCTCTGCTTATTAACCAGAACCTTCCGGCCAGGGGGCTGGGTGGCCAGATGGACAGTGCTGAGCTTGAGAATCGTGGAAGGTGTGTCTGGCTCAGGAGCCACCCAGAGCCTGACAAGCAGGAAGGGTTCTCAGCTCATGTCATGTCCTTCCCAGGAGCCGGGACTCTGCCTCCTCAGGGTGCCCAGGTCAGGCGCAGCCTTGGAGCGTGGTGGCCAGAGGCTGACGGTCATGAGCCCACTCAGCCCTCTGTTGGGGGGACGTCCTGAGTCAACTTTGGAGGCTGGTCAGCCCTGGACCCTGGACCACCACCCCACCTGGAAGACGTCCCCAGCACCACCCACTCGTGGTTCCCAATAAACTCCAGCCTCCTGGCAGGGATTTTATAGTGGCAGATATTTTTAATGCTTTTAAATACATGTTGTAATGTAGCCGCCAAACAGACTTTGCTCTCCTGACATCCCCATGGGGCTGGGCAGAGCTATCAGATGCCCGCCTCTGTCCCCAAGCCCCCACCTCACACTTCCCACTCCTTCAGGCTTTTCTTCAGACTTTGCTGATGCAGAGTATTGTTGCTGCCCCAAACTCAGCAAGCACAATGGCCTCCACAGACCCAGGTGGCCCCAGCAGATGTCCCAAAGTGCAGCCAGAGAAACAGCCAGGCGTGGCTGGGATAGGTTGAGGCTGAGCATGCAGGGCCAGCCGTGTAGGTATTTGGGTTGAGATTCAGGGTTGTGGTGAACGTGGAGACAGGCATCCAGGTGTGCCTATGTCACCAACAGCAGCAGTGTGGCCAGTGAAGGCTCCCCTCCTCCTGGCTGGAGGAGCTGGTGGTTTGGAGCCATGGGTGAAGGGGCTGGGAGCCTCCAGGCCAGGGTCCCCAGAACAGCCCATCCTGGTGGCAGCCCTAACCTGCAGCCAGGGCCCACCCCTGACTATGTGCCGCTACCAAGCCAACAGGGGAGGGCCATGTCCTCAGTCCTGCTTCTGCCCCCAAAACTGTGCCCCATGATCTCCATAGGAAGAACCCACCCAGCTCTCGCCCCCTTGGAGATTGTGGCCCTCCCAGGGACACTGGTGGGCTCCCTGGGGGGCTCTGGGCCTGATTTCCTAAAATAGAAAGCTGCACAAGGCTATGCTGAGAAAACAGTGCCAAATGCAGGACAGGCCCAGAACCAATGGCCTGAGTCACAAAGGGGTCCCACCCTTGCTGAGAAGAGAGATGGCCCATTTTTCTTACCTGTGACCTACCTGCTTATCTGTGCCCCCAGTGGCTGAGTGGGGGTCCACCTATCCAAGGTGAAGGCCCTGGAGCTAGTGATGTGGCTTGGGGTGCAGGCCCAGCTGCTGGGCACAGGCCTTGGGGATGGCCTGCAAGCAGAATGCCCTCCTTGCCCCTCTCAGCTTTGCCTAGGACCAGGAGCCTGAGGCACTGCCTGGGGGAAGGGCGCAGGCTGCTGGGCCTCAGCATCTCCCTATGGCTACAGGGAAACTTGTGTTGTGCACCCTTCTACTGGGCTTCAGAGCCTCTGTTTTACTTCTCCACTTTCTTTTCCAGAGGTCACAAAGAGATGAAGATGAAACACCCTGGACTTAGCTTTGTAGCCTCAGAGCAGGTTTTAGAATAAGGGGCCACAGAGGACATCCCAGTCCATCCTGGCTGTGGGCAGCCCCTTTCCTGGAGCCCTCCTCCCCCTCACATGCTTCCCTGTCTGGTTCCAAGGCTCCATCCACACACAAGCAAGGGAAGAAGACACGGGCAGAGCCCTCATCCGGCAGCTGGGGGCCTCTGTGCCCACCTGCCTGCAGAGCCCAGCTGTCAGTGTGACATGCATCTGAGAGTCACACAGCCCACCTGCCACACCATCATGTCCTGTGCTGGGGAGGGCATACAGATGGAGCCCTGGGCTGCCCTCACCCCTCTGTGCCTCGTTTTCCCTATAGGCTAAACAGGGATGGTGACATTCCCACTGCCTACCTCATGGAGCTGTTCTGAGAATACATGGAAAAGCACTTTGTCCCTTTAAAGGATGACTAAAAGCCAAAGCCATCTGACAGGCGGTGCAACCGTGAGGGTAGAGCAGGCTGGTGGGTGTGTGTTCCCCTCAGACCTGGCCCTGGGGTGGCTGGGCCCCACAGGACAGGAGGTGGCCCCCTTGGGGCAGGGGTTCTCGGCCCTGTCGGAGTCTCAAAGGTTAAGCCACCAGTCACTATCAGATAATGCCAGGTTCTTCTCAGGCCTGGCCACCACCGTCTGGTGTGGTATGGGTAGGCTACATCCTTGACCAGGCCAGGCAGGGGCCAGCCCCTGGAACCTGGCCCACTGCCTCCCTCCTCCTCTGCACTGATCCCCTTGGGCACCATCTCCTCTGGGCACGCAGGCGGTTCCTGGGCCAGAGCTGGGAGAGGAGAGGGGGCCCCTGAGCAAGAGCTGGTGGCCTTGTGCACCGTCCTCATTCCCAGATCGGAAGACCTGAGTGCCTCTAGCCTTCCTCCCGGACACGTTCCTCATGAAAACCACTTCTTCCAAGGGCCAGGCTGCCGGACCCACATTGTACTGACCCGCCTTCCCCACACCTGTCCTGCCCTCGTGTGTGGGGCCCGCAGGGGGCTGAGGGCCGGGCTTGGGGGCGCCCTGGAGTCTGACTGTGTGAGCCAAGGGGCACCACTGCGCGTTCCTGCAGACCCCTTACGTTCATTGTGCATTGTTTGGCTTCTAGGGTGTACGTGTTGCCAGTTTTAATTTTTTTAATGGAAAACAGGATTAATGTAAATAGCTTTCTGCGGAACACATCTAATTTGTCACATGTGTGGACTACTTCAAGGTGCTGATGCGACACTAATAAACCTAGAGGGCCGCCCCGCCCGCCCCGTCTGCTGTGCGCTGCTTCTCGCTCCGCCCGCCCGTCGCAGGTCCCCGCAGGGAAAAGCGGCGTCCGCGCCGGGGGAGGGCGCGGCCC